GTATGAGTCAGATTTGTTTGTAATTCGAAGTGCATCAATACACTAATGGTTATTTAGTGCTGGGAAAAAGACAGAAAGACAGACACAACAGAGAGAAAGAAAAAATAACAGAGAGAAAGAAAAGAAGTAAGGCTTGCAAATGACACCCTCCAACCACCCGCACAAACAGAGGGAAACACCCTTAAACCTCTCCGTACGTCGTGTTTTACTATCGTATCCATACAACGTGGTGAACTCTGTGGCACAACTTTCCAAAGAGGAAATTTACTCTTTAATCCGATCCGTACGCTTTACATAGCAGTCTGTCAAAATGATTTTTTGAGAAATACTGAAAGTTTCAACGAGATCTTCGCACTAGAAGTATTCTAAAATGTGAAGAATACAACCCCGGGGGTACAAAATGACATAAGGGTGTACGGATATGGTTAAATAACCATAAACTTACCCAAAGAGACAGCGGTCCACGAAAGAACGAGACAGATTCCCCACAGAAATCGCACAGAACCTCGTTTATCGTAGCCTAGGTCCATGATTAAGGGGAAGCAACCCTCTGTGCATTCTTCAAAGTGGCTCAACTTGTTCCCAGAGTCGTTGTGGTCTGATCTGGAGAGAAAGTTTTTATTTTTTTTATATATTTTAGTAAAACAAAATTTTTAGTAAGAGTTCACGATCTGAGGAGAAAGTTTCAGGCTCAGATTTTTATAAAATTGTTTAATGGAAAAAAGGGGGGAAAAAGAAGGAAAAAAAAATAGGAAGAGTTTTACGGCGCATGAAACACAGTTAGGTTATATACACATGCTAAAGATTTGAGGTGTTAAAAGAGAGAAACAAACACGAAAAAGAGGAGGAGAGATAAGGACGACAGATGTTTGATAGGAAAGAAGGAGCAATTTAAACTACATAAGAGAACACGCCAACCACCCACGAGGATGAAAACTTTAGACCGTCACGCCTTACAGTGTATAAGTTAAAGGCGGAGCCCAATTAAGAATCGGGTCGGGTCGGATCGGATCGGTTCGGTATCTGGTGCCCACTATTTTATTGATCCCTGCCTCAACAAACCGATCACCGACTCGCGGCCTTGAAAACAAACGCGTCTGCTCGTGAAGACCATCATCGGTTTCGCTCCCTTTGTTGTGCTACGATGGCAGATTTTCGACCTCTATGGAGCAAAATCTGGCTAGCCCCGACGATCAATCCAATCCGAACCGAACCGAACCGATCCGATCCGATCTTGCCAAAGGGCACCCGATATAAGATCTAGTCCTGACTTTGAGTGGAGTCCTAATGTGGTGCAGGTTTAAGCAAACTAGGGCACCGTTGGAAGTCAGCAACTTCATCTGTTTTGTTTTCTTTAGATTACGGGTTTTTTGGGTTTTTTTAAGTTTTAGTTTTAGTAAATGTTTTACGGCACTTGCAATATAATGTGAGATAATGTAAGTGCCGAAAACTAGAGGTGTTACTTGAGAGTAACAACATGATACTTACAATGAGAGGACTAGAGATAAGGACGTCAGGACGAAATATCATAATTATAGATGTTCGACAGGAAAAAAGGAGCAAACCACACCAGAGCACCCGCCAACCACCCACAAAACCGATTTTGTTAAAGAAAGCAATCTCCTGTCCCAGAATCGCCATTATCTCTCCCCCCCC